TGTCACCTGCGATCGTATGTGTCTTGTCGCCCGGATACCGCCTTGAGCAAAACCCAACATCCCACACACAAACAAGAGAGGCAACAGTCTCAACGGACACATGGACACACCTCTTCGTACGCATCGGCAGCATCTCTCGGCTTCTCCGCCCCGTGCACAATGGCAGCTGCGTTCTGCACCGCGCGCTTGTTGATGTCGATGTCGCTGTCCTCGTGCAACGCCTTCATTGCTTTCGTCACCTCTTTTGGCTTCATCCCATGACCTGCGCCGTATGGGAGAGCCGGGAGCACAAAAATAAGTGGCGTGTCAAAGACAAACAGGGTAACAATGTGGAGGCGACAGCAGTACCACGCTTCAAGGGCCGTTCGTCATGCGGCATCATGACTACCAACCATGACAAACCGTGGGATACGACGGGAGCCACTGTAGACCTACTCCAACGAGTTCAATCTTCCTTGCCCCATATTTGATTCACAAGACAAGACAAATGAAACGTTTCGCCGTCCACCGCTGAGTACACGAAAACAGCGAACCGAACGTGCACGCGTTGAAAGGCACGAGGTGCAGCACAGCAGGGACAATCAATTGGCGTGCTACACCCACGAAAACAATGGCAGGGCCTCTACAGGGAGCCTTGATGTGGACCGGGGGAATGCCAGATACCGGTGCTCTTTTCATGGGGCCAAGGGGAACAGCAGCAGCAACATCAAGTAAAGCACACAAAAAAACATTGTGGGTGTCACGCCGAACGGCACGTGTCAAGCACCAACCCGTCTCGCCTGCGTTTCCGGCGGGGGGCTGGTGGTCAATGTCTGCTGCTGTTGTTGCTGTACGGGGTGGGCTTGTACAGGGTAGCCCGCAAAACCTCCGGCGGCCCCAGCATCGGGAGCACCCACAGGGGCCGGAGTTCCCAACGGCAGACCAGTGCGAGGTGAAAGCATGGCTCTGCAACCGCACGCGAAACCCACCACGCGGCGGAATGGAAGGACACCATGTCAACGTTTGATCACAAGACAAGACAAATGAAACGTTTCGCCGTCCACCGCTGAGTACACGAAAACAGCGAACCGTACGTGCACGCGTTGAAAGGCACGAGGTACAGCACAGCAGCGACAATCCACTGGCGTGCTACACCCACGGAACAAACATTGCCGGTGTCACGTCGAACCGCACTTGTCAAACATCAACCCGTCTCGCCTGCGTTTCCGGCGGAGGGCTGGTGGTCAATATCTGCTGCTGTTGTTGCTGTACGGGGTGGGCTTGTACAGGGTAGCCCGCAAAGGCTCCCGCAGCGCCAGCATGACGAGCACCGTAAGAGGCCGACAGAGCAGCACTGGATGGAAGCATTCCTAGCAATGACACTACCGCACGGCAGGCCACGGGTCCCACGACGCGAACATGGAGGGTAGACACATGAAGTTAAGGGGTTGGGCAAGTGCGTGCACAATGCCTGCACCTCTACCAGCCCAGCACTGCTGTAGCACCACCATACAGCCGAGCAGCCAGAAGAAAAGACTCCGGACTATACGGCAAGGACAACAGGCAGGGCCTGGCCTGGCCTGACCACACCAGTGCAGGCACATGATCACCAACGTACGTACGACGGCAACAACAGGTACAGAGCAGCATCGACACGTGGGACAGCATGAGGGAGGCTGCAACACAGGAGACAGACCAACACACACATGGCGCTGGTGCGGGTGCGGCCGTTGCTATTTTATTTCCAAAAAAAACATCACAGAGAGGGTGAGGGTGAGGCACAGACACAGAGGATGCACGGACGCCTGTCGGGACGGGATCTCACCAGTTATCGTTGTGTGTTGTCTCCTCGTCTTCCCCCAGCGTGCGGGTGCGTGTCGCCGCCTTCAGACGGCTCTCCGCCGCCGTGATTATCGCTGCTTTTATAGGAGAGGGAGAAGAACCTCTTCGGGGACACTCCGGGCGGTTTCCCGGGGTTTCGATCCATATGGATGTTTGGACTGTGGTTCTCTTCTATAATCCATGGATTGCAAATATTCGCGCCCGTTCCGCAGGGCGGAAAAAGACCTGTACCTCCTCTCTCCTCTCCTGGCTCCTGACTCTGTGACATGCACTGCGCAACTCGCTCCCCCTCACCTTGGTTATCTCCAACAAGAGGACCAGAGGGAGAGAGAGAGAGAGAGCCAGAGAGCCAGAAAAGGCTTCATGCTGGCTGTTCGCGCAAGTTCACGCAAACTCTCCTTGCTTTCGCTCCCCCGAGGTTATCTCCATCAGGAGGACAAGAGAGCAGCACGAGAAGAAAGCGAGAAAAAAATGGCATTTTCGACATGTAGTCTATGCATAGGTGGGGAGGAGCATCTGCCAGAGCATGCTGAAGGCAGGCCGACTGTACGACGCGCGCAAGCTGTGGACTCCTGGGTACCAAGAAAGCCTCTATTGAACGCTGGAGGGTATTGTCAACGTCCGTGTGCAGTTGTTCGACCATCCAGCCTGTACGAGGCGGGCAAGCTTTGGACTCCTACTGCTGGGTACGAAGAGAGCACTCTTTTGCGACGAGAGCACCAAGTCAACGCCCTTGTGAAGATGTGCGACCATCCGGACTGTACGATGCGGGCAGCTTTGGACTGGTGGATACGAAGAAAACCCGCTTTGCGACGCGCGCAAGCCTGCTCATTGCAAAAGCGAGATTTCTTGGTGCCCGCCTACCCAAAACTTGCCCGCGTCGTACGTACAGCAGTCCGGATGGTCGCACCTCTTCAGGAGGGTCACTGACCATGCCCACATG